CTTGGAGCGGTGGAGTTTAAAATGGATTCGAGGCATGAGTTAGAGGAGAACAGACTCACCTTACGGAGGAAGTGGAATGACTTGCCGTCTCGCGTTCCATCGAGATCCAACGACCGGGGAGTATTATTTGCGTTCTCCTTGAGTTTCAGAGTAATCTCGCTGATATGGGCAACTCGTCCAAAGAGAACGGTCACGCTACGAAAGGCTTTGTAGTAACCGCCTCTAGCGTGGGTTGTCCAATACCTGGTGGGGTCAGAATGGAGGAGAACGTCCTCGAAGTCACCAGGCACACCAAACACCCTCACTTGGCACGGCTTGAGCCTCACGTAGCCGTGATCCCTGTGGTGTTCTTAAATGTAAGTATTTCTTATTTACAACCATGCATTCAATGGAAATGTGAAATATAAAGTGGCACATCGCTGGAGTACGACATGCGACACGTACATACGAAGTGGCTTATCAATATGTGAATCAGTGCCATCATTTATGTGAGGGGTTTGACACATTCTGGCTATTTGAGTAATTAACATTAATGACACATATTCGCGCCAATATGTGCATTCACCAAATTACTGTCAATGCGACTTTGAACCCTTAGGTAGATGGCTGAACCTCGTGCATGCTTAGTGGAGTTTATTTTTTGCCAATTCAGCTTGAGTTGAACCCGTAAAAGTACAAATGACTGAATGGAGAGTTGAGCAAAGTGGACAGCGCGGGGTTCAAGCACAGAGTGTGTGGTCAGACGGTCCCGCATGAAATACGGGGGCAGTGTGTTGGAGACTGCGGCGACCGGGTTAATGGACATGAATCAACACGATTCAGTATTGTATCAAATAAATCCAACGTGAGGTGTCTTCCAACGTCAAATATGCATTCAGTGTTGTTTTTAAACGTGGGGTCAATGTTTTAGGAACAAAATTATATGAATCATAACCGAGAGTAAGCTAGATGTCAAGAGCGTAAACACACAAAAAGGGTTTGTGGTGAACCCTATTGATTCAAGTCCAATAACCTAGTCGTCGCAGCCTCCAACACACGTCCCCCTTTTCACGGTGTGCCCGTCAGTCACGTGAGGCCGCCAGTTCATTAACCCCGCTGCATGTGCCGCCACCACTACCACCACCACCGCCAGCTTTAGTCATGTGACCTCACAGACGCCGGTGATTTTGACATGTCCGCACAACTTGATTGAGCTGTCTATTGAACGGTCGTACCTGCCACTTCTGGACTTATGTTCTTCCTGGGTTACTTCGTGCGGTAAAGGGCCAAAGCTAGATCTTGGATGTTCACGTTTATCTCACACAACTGGCATGCTAGACGATAGACCATGCTGATCGGCTAGAAAATTAAATGTTCCGAGCACGATGAATTCTGTGATCGTTAAAGTTGTGTGGAAATCAGTGTCTGTCTGATAAACTGCAGCCTTCTGCACTTCTGGATGGCAACTCGTCTCACAACTAATAAATTCCAATGCAACCAGTAGACAAATAATTGCTCGTCAGAAATTCGCACATTGTTGAAGTAGAGTAACTCAAGCCAGCGCTCTCGACTCTGTTATTCGTGACTAATGTAAGACCTCAGATCAACCACATTGGCCAGAATCCTTTTCACTGTGTGTCACAAGCGACTTTGGGGGTAGTCAAAGGCTGCTGATTGAACTCGGCTGCATTGTTAAGGTGGTCTAAGTGGGAACAGCCATTAATTTGTTTGGCTAGTAGTGAATCGTGTTGATTTATGTCCAAAAACCCAGTCCACACAGTTTCCAGCACAAGTCCCCCCTTTTCACGACCTGCTCGTCAGTCACGTGAGGCCACTGGTTCATTAACCACTCTGCATGTCCCACCACTACCCGTTCTAGTCATGTGACCTCACAGACACCTGTTTATTTTTGTACATGTCCACTGAACCGTAATTGTTCACGACACGACTTGGTTGAGTTGTCTAGTAAACGGTTGTGCCTTCTCCACTCGGGTCTTTTTTATTTTCGCGGGAACACAGGGTAACGTATCCGGCCTTAGGTTGTCGCAGTGGCCCCGGCGTGGCTCTAGACAACATGCCGGGGCCCTCAACAGGCCTATCGACTACGGCCTCCCACATTTGGTCCTGAGCATTTGATTTGCGACACTGCGATACAGAGGGATGTACTTAGTGAGGGCAGATCAGGTGTAGCAGCAGATGGCATGGAGCCGTTCATGTTCAGTCATTTTGTTAACTTTCAGACCTTTTTAAAAGGAAGCTACACTTGTGCTAGACTTTGATTGATTTGAATCGAATAAATCGACCAAAGATATTTCGCTGTCTAATTAGGTTGAAAGTTTGCGTGTCCTTTTGAATATTTCGTCAACAATTTACTGGTTTACTTGTAAATAAATTTATAGGAAATGAGTTTTTTTTTAAATGCGTGATAAAGGTAGGGCAATGTACCACCTGCAGCGGCAACAAGTCGCAGCTTCTGACTGAAGTAGATTGGTGGATTGAAGGTGGGGTCGTGAATATTCTGCTGTCGTCTGTACGTGCGACACTTCAAAATGCCGTCCACGTCAACGTCAACGTGGTTGTCTACCTCCACGTTTGGCAGTTGCTTGAGAACTAGTCTGATGGCTCCGCTCACGCCGAAGTAAAGGCCGCCCTATGTGGACCATTTCAAAAACATTACAGCATGTTGCTTGAATTCAGCATAATTGCTGATTATTAAGCTGCTACAGGAAAATTTCACGTGGTCTGCAATAAAGACTGAAAATTGGCAATCGCGTTTTCAAGTTATTTTAGTGCTGGTGAATAGGGGTAATGTTAGTTTAAAAATTTTCCTCTAGGTAGACTTATTCTTCTATCTGAGGAATGTTCTTGTACATCCGGTAATATTGACCAACTAGCTCTAAAACCAATTTCCTAAATTTCTGCATTTTCATGGAAATTGCGCTCATATAACGTGACCTGCATGAACAGGTCTTCTCTTTTCTTTTAGCAGCACTTGAGTAAGTTGACTACCATCGATTGCTGCAAGCTGGCTTTCCTCGACACAAAGATGTTGTTACACAAGTAGCGTCAACAAAAGCCACCTCCCTGTCTCCTTGTACATCTCAAATTCTAGCAACTTCATGTTCAGACCGACACTATCATTGATCTCACCTTTACGGTAGAGTAGCAACTATAGTGGACCCCATCTAACGATCTCCTCTCATGAGCTCCGACCAAATGCTCCTGACGATCAGAGATCTTTAGTTGCGTCCCTGCTTGCGTCTAATGCCTCAGGTGCCCAAACGAAAGCAGAATCTAAGATCGCCAATCAACAAATCAGCTCTCGAAGCGAACTTGGCACATCTCCGTTCTCAAGTCACAGATGGCTCGAATCGTCTCACAAGTAACAATGTCTATTTACATTCATGTTAGTAAAAAGAAAAGTGAACCACTAAACGCCACAAACAGGTGTCGGAAAAAGGAGGCAGAGTTCAGGGTTCGATAAGTTTAAACGTGATCACCGCATTTTCAAGCGGCACGTGAAAGGGTGGTAACTGACTCACCTCAAACAATCTGACACCTCTTCCATTGGACACTGGAACCGGATCCACTTTGACGTCTTGAAGCATGACCTCTTGAACGTTGACAGAAAAAACACCGCCATGCATGAGCCAAAATGAGGCCTTGTGACACTCAAGGGTTGATTGTTTTGATAAAGTCGCCTGCACGTCCACCACGAAATCTTCCCTTCAAAACCAAACAAAGGCACTCATTGAATTGGTACAAATATGGGTGGCACTTGGCTACAATTCAACCGGTTATTAACAAACATTTGAACTAAAAGAAGTTTATTAAGCACTCACTATGTACCAGTTTAGCCACACCGATTCGATTGGCTGACAGTGGACACTTGGTTCTGTGTACGGAACGCGAAGAGTTAGTAAACGGACCCATGTTTCGATAAGCTGATGGTGCAAGTAGTAGCCTGA